GCGCAACTATATATCTTCCATCTATGAGTGAGAATAAAAGTTGTCCTCTTTTTGATGAGGCTGGGTCGGTGATTACAAACGATGTTATGCACATTTGTATTCTTTTTCTTCAAACACTATTTTTCCTCATAAATGGAAACTTGATGTGATACACGTAAATTATCTTTACACTGTAAAGAAATATCCTTTGATCATGATGTCATGGGCTTTTTCCCTTTCTTTTTCTGCTATTCTTATATTTATTTCTAACGTCCTTTTTCTTCTTGCCTTCTTACTAAATAAAGCTTATAATAACCACTCAATTCTCTCTTTTGCGTGTCATTAGTGCTTTACTACCTCTAGACAAACATTTTTCGTTATCTCTGGTAAGAATCTTATCCGAGTCTTATTGGATTCTTACACAAGAAGTCTCCACGAAAATGGCAAGAATTTCGTACGAATCCGATAAGAATCAGGTAAGATTTAAATAAGAATGAGCTATGACTTTGATAAGACGCTCTTATCAGTTTCTTATCACTTCCTTATGAAACTCTTACTAAAAGCCAGATATCGTTTTATTTGGCAGAAGTACATACTATATGAGCACCACCGATTTCTTGGAAGTTTTTTCAAAGTTTCTTCATGGTAGGTAAGACTGGTCGTTTTCAGAATGTCTCGCGACCTCTTACACACTCACTAATAAACTATACAGCTAACTAAAGAAGGAAAAAAAACATTGGAAGTTTTGTCAGTTCTTGTCGAATTCTTACAGGATTTTTAACTGATCCTTATCTGATTTTTATCAAATTCTTGTCACTTTCGTACGGACTTCTTATGTAAGAATTCAATAAGAATCTAATAAGATTCTTATCGGAGAGTCATATCGGATTCTTATAAGTTCTTTATCAGATTCCTGTCAGATTATTTTGTGAGAACTACTCACTGGAGTAGCCACTCTCTTCCTAGAAGATTAGATGTGTTGTGTATACGACCACCTGCTCTTCTCAATCAAAAGATTATTATCAAAATTTCAATTATTATAAGGTTTGATTGAGAACATATAGATTTGATATATTTAAATGTAGGAAGTCGAAAGAGAACGCATATTTATTTTTAAACAATAAAAACTTCAACAGAAAGTTGCGCATGGATTTTTCATTCACTTATTGATTTATTTCAAGAACAAGGGAAAAACAGAAAAAAAACAACCAGTAATGCATTAATATAATCGAATGTTAACTTATTAAATTTTTAGATTAGATCAACTTATTGTGAGTGATTTAATAATTAATAATAAAAACTATGACTCTTTGTATTGCTCGCCAATTTTCTTCGACTGAACGAGTTAATTGTATAGATTCACATGAGAAAATCGATTTATTCGATGGCAAAAATTATATTTTAATTCTTCAACGAATAAATGGAGGTATAAGAACTTGTTATGAGATTACTTCTTGTTTATAAAACAATAATTTTCTCTAGGGTATCGTGTTTTATGTACATTGAAGAGTATTTTTCAAAGTTTATACCGTAATTTATCTGATCATTCAAAAAGTCTCAAAAATTGGACATCACAATCAAAAGGGATGATTGAACAACTTGATACCATATTTTGTTATGATACAACACGAGATGTTATCATGAAAACATTGAGTTATGGTGAACAATTAGCTCGATGTTTATTTGATCCTATATTAAAAGCAATACAAAGAGTAATCGATGACTTAGATTCCATCATAAGGCTCACATATTCAAATAAAAAAAATGAACATCAACAATATACTGAAATTAAACATCAACTTGAAGATGAATATTCACGTGTTGCTAAATGTGAAAAAAAATTCCAAAAAAAACGTTCTGAACAAAAGAAAAAACGAGAAGAATTTCAATCATTAAACGCGAGCAATACCAGTAATGGAAATGAGATTAAAAGAAAGGAACGTCAATTAAAGACATTGGCTAATGACATTAGCGATTTGAAAGCTGAGTTAACAAATAAACGAAATGAATTTCGTAAAAATGCTCGAGACATATTGGATGAAAAGTGTAATCCGATTGAACTTGAACAATTAGATGTAGTGAATAACGCATTGACAAGTTTTACTGAAGCTGTAAAAATTAAGCCAACAAATTTAGAGAAGTTAAAAAAGATCCATGATCAATTAGAAGAATATATTAAAAAAAATCATCAACCAAAACATGATATTGAACAGTGGACCAATCGCTATACAACCGTTATTAATGTCCCAGTTACACCACAAACACCACAAAAGAATGACTTTGACGATAAAAGTGACGATGAAAAATAGCATCAATTAGAGTAGTACATTTCTTTAAACTGATAAACGAGAGATTTGTCGACTAAGTTATCCTTGGCAATACTTAGATGAATAGAGATTTTTACGTTGTTCTACTGTAACTCTAAACAACGGTTCTTGTGTATAACATCTTCATGAATAAATTCTAAACTGAAAAGAAGTTAGTAATTTATTTCTCTTGGTATGCTCATAAAATTTGTTGAACACTAGCCTCATGAGCACTTTTGACATTGCAGACAACAAACCAATAAGTCTGTGATTCGTAGCAAGTCTATGATCATCAACTTTGAATAGTGCGTGTATCAGATCAAGTTTCCATTTATGAGGAAAAATAGTGTTTGAAGAAAAAGAATACAAATGTGCATAACATCGTTTGTAATCACCGACCCAGCCTCATTAAAAAGAGGACAACTTTTATTCTCACTCATAGATGGAAGATATATAGTTGCGT